GCCAGAAAAATCGCCCCAGCTCCACGATTATCTGCCTCCAGAGGTCGTGCAAGGGCTCCGGGGCCGTCAAACATTTATTCAGGATGAGAAGCTCAATCCCCGGGAGGTGTCGAAGCCCCAAGGGGCGCATGTCACGAACAAGTTGCCAGGCCGGAGGAGATGGATGCGGGAGGATCGCTGGAGGAGCGAGGCTCGAAGTTAGAGCTCTAGCGCGTTATTTTGCTTGGTTTGTGTTTGTTCTGGGCGTCTTCGTCCCTATGGCTGCACCTGCCAAACAATCTGATCGGAGCACATCCAAGGGTTGGTCTATGATGTCCTCTTTGAGGAGAGAGATCGGGGGGAGGGTGAGGACCCATACCTCCGTACAGAACATGAATCAGGACGGACCAGAATCAGGGCCGTGAAAGGGGTCGCGGGGTTGGGGGCGTAAGTGAGTGTATCGATTGAACTCAACATGGGCTACATTATTAAACGTCTTGGCTGGCTCCAGGGGCGCGGAGTAAAATGACAATGACCAGGAGGGAAGGCTCAGATTTGTTTGCATATTCGACGGCCGAGGGAGCATTGTTTGGTGCGCTTTCCGTTTCCCGAGGCTCCTGGGGACCATTGGACGGAGCCTTCCAAGAATTTTCAAAGGCCTCCAGGGATTTCGAGGAAGAGAAAGAGCGAGTTCTGATGTATTTCGTGTTCTTTTGAGCCTCTTGGGGCGCCGTCCTGGTGGCCTGGTGGCCACGTCTGGACGCCTCCCGGGACAGACCCAGACCCGATTTTCGAAGGATGATGATGATGAGGAGGAGGAGGAGGAGGGTCAGTACCATACTGCTGGCGGCATGAATCGATCCAGGCAGTCGCTCTTTATCAGCTTCGGTTTCTGAAGGCCCGTTCAGAAGACGAGGACGAGGGTCGTTGAGATTGAAGGGCGGCCAGCATTGTAAAAGCCACGACGTCGGAGGTCTGCGCACCTTCTTCCTGCTCCTGGCGATCATTCTAGTCCGCATCACCGTTCGTCCGCATCATTACTCCGAGTTTCTTAGTAAACGTCGGGGGGGCGTCACCCCCGCCGACAGCTCCACATCGACCCCTGTTGCGGGCAGCCACCGCGCGCCGAAGACGCTCGGACCCCCGTCGCGGCGCGACGACGAGGCGAGGTTGACCCCCGTCGGGGGCTACCCCCCACGCGTATTAAGAAACCCGGATTACCATTTTACCCTCGTCATCACCATCGCCGTTCTCGTCCTTGACTTGCTTATCCTCCCCCTTTCACAACCACCCCTTTTGTCATCATCGTTGTTCCCCTCGTCCTCATCATCGTCCTCTATCTTCCTGGTACTTATCGCCTCAGGGGATCTCCGATATTTCTGAAGGTCCCCGTGTCCCCGGAGGCTTCCAGAGGCCCAGAACAAGGGTCAAGACATTCAACATTTCGATCTTCGATTCTCGATGTCTGTCTTCCAGCCTCAATCAGCTCAGAATCGGTCTCCAGATCCGTCCATGGGTGTAGAGCTGCGTCCTGCAGCGGCGACGGCAGCCTCTGGAGACGCCCAAATTTTCTGATACGAGGACGTCGACGTCGTCATCGTCGCCGTCTCCCCCTCGCTCGGAGGGAAGGGCGACACCACTACCACTAGCCGGCCAGCTCCAGCAAGCAGTTCTACGATGCCTCCCCGAGCTGGAGCTTGGAGATGCCCTGGAGCAGGATGTCGCATGACACGGGGGCCACGCCACCAACGGAATCCTCGCTGGCCCCTCTCCCAATTGTGGCATGTTTTGTTTTTGTTTTTGTTGAGAGGGTTCTCTACAGCAGGCAGTCGGTGTACTGGGAGTCTCATCCAAGGAAGGACCAGACAGGTTCCCGGAAACATTGATCGACAGTAGACATTGTTCACCATGGTCATGATTCAGGAGAAGGCCGATGAGTATCAGTTTCCACTGCAGTCTGCTGCACTCGATTTCCAGAGGGTGTGCGATTTACTCGAGCACCAGGCAATATGGAATGCACTGTGCAAACAAGGCGTGCCACCTGGATATTCAATCATGTAGGAAAAGCTATGCGCTGGACAGAAATTTCTGGTGCGCACCGAAGTTTGCAGCCGCCTGTTTGATATGTCAACGCGGGAGCCCTAAGCTCTCTTATTCTCAATGATGGTATCGAACACATTTGGCGACATGTACATGTACAAGTTGGGTGGCCTACGAGGCGATATGGCGTTCAACTTGGGCATACAGTGGTACTAAGCATGACACGTCTCCGATATGTTGACGATATGTTGTTGGCAAGCAAAACGTTACCCCAGATCTAGAACGTGTTGTCTGAAAACTGCAAGCACGCCAGAGCATTGAGCCCCCGGTTGTATCCAGACATGTGTGTTCACCAATGTGACGCGAAGAACAAACAAACGGCGATACACCATTTCACGGGCTGAGAACACATCCGCGTGCATTGAACTTGTCTGGCAGTCGTGGAAAGCATTTATGAGGAGAAAAAAGGGTGGACATACATGCGAACGCCATGTATTTGCTAGTTCGTTGCGGTTTTCTGGCCGTGCGGTGACACCGTCGGCATTGCATAGGGCATGGAGTTAGACGCGTGCAGTGGACCTCCAGAGCAAGCACGCGCCATTCAGCGCAATATCGAGGATGGCTTCCAGCAGCTCCGACCTCGACGTGGAGCCCTGGGCTGATTGGGTCGTGAGGGCCATGGCGGACGTCGAACCCCACGCGCGTTTGAACCAGGTGACAGGCTGGCGTCTGAGTAAGTCGTCGTATATCCACCCAGTGTAGTGGAACAACACGTGATGATCGCAACACAGATACGGAAAGTCGGAGGGAAGACAGCGACAGCAATAGTAGAAGCTGAGCCCTCACCAGGGCGCGCCTCAGCTAAGCCTCCGTGTTTCGTCTGACCCGGGGCCAGATTGGTCAGGAGCGTGCCGACACGGGATGTTTTCAGTAACGCGTCGGACGGAGTCGCGTCGGAATCGTTGTAGGGCAGGAGTCGATGTAGTGCCACAGCCGTTTCCAGAACACGCTTGCATTATACTGTTGTCAGACAGCCCACGTTTGCCAGGCAATTCGTCGAATGAACATACAGAGTGGACGCGACCACTGCGCTTTGGGATCTTTCCAGCCTCTTGCCTTAACGTCGCAATGGGGAAATTCATGGGCAAGAGGCAGCCTCGGCCATATCATATTCTGAAATGTACAGAGAGAGAGAGAGACGAAGTCTGATCACTCAGTGGAACAGCACATGAGTATCGCAACGCAGATGCAGAAAGTTGGAGGGGAGAGAAATGACGGCAATACTGCAAGCTCAGCCTTCATCAGGGCGCGCAGCCTCCGTGTTTCCGCTAACCAGGGCCAGGGCTGGGCAGGTGCATGCCGGCACGGCGTATTACCAACAACGCGCCACTCGGAGTCTCAGCTGGAATCATCGCAGTGCAGGGGTTGTCGCAGTACTATTGTCGTTATCAGTAATCGTTTGTTTTGTGTTGCTGTTGGGAAAAGAAAGTCTCCGAGGCAACAGTCGGATGAACATGCAGAGCAATTAGGTATGCGCACGGCGTTTTGGGATCTTTGAGCCAATATGCCTCAAGGTCGCAAATTTATAATTACGCAGCAAAGGGGTAGGTTCGACCATATCATTTGTCCGGACTGTACGGGTTGAGTCGCAGTATGTCCACCCAGTGTAGTGGAACGGTGCGTGAAATTCGCATGTGGAACAGCACGTGCGCCTTGTGGCGACGCCGTGTTTAGAACTATTGCAAAAAGGTTGCGTCCACTCCGGCTTTCAGATGTGCGCTGCGCGAAGCGGCGTGGTTGGAAGGTTCGGACCGACGGTCGAAAGGAAATGACCCGGCCGAACGTAGAAACGATGGAGCGATGATTTGCGTAAATATTTGCAGATTCACGGCCCGTCCCCGCAGTTGGAGCAGTTGTCGTTGTAGTGCCGTTCGTTGGTTCATTCTGACCCCCCGCAGCGGGGAATGTGACGAGGAGGGCGAGGAAGGGGGGAGGACAGGGAGGATGGAGGAGAACGGGGAGGGTAGGGGGACGTCGGGGGGAAGGAGGGGGCTTGCGGCGGGAGGAGGGCGGCAGCACCGGCGACGACCATGACGACGACCCTGCCCACCCTGCCACGCGCGCCACCAGGCGGAGGCGCCCTTGCCCCCGTGGGGCCAGGGACTGCGGGAGGAGGAGCACGAGGTGTGACGCCGCGAGGGGTGCTCGGAACATTAATTTACCGAAGTCCAACGCAGTGCAAGTAGGACGCGCCACCTAGAGGTCACACCGAAAAGAGCCAGGCGCAGCTGCAGCTAGTGGTGCATCCCAGAGGCATGGGCTCTTTGAAAAGATGACTTTGTCTTTTTCCCATCCATCCTGTGGTGTTGGGTCCTCGTTTTGAAGAGACAGTGCCCCGCGTCCACTCCCTCGTTCCTCCTCCCCCCTCAGGCCCGCGTGAGCCGTAGTCGCAGCCATATTTCCCCCCCTTCGGCACACGGTGGCTCCTCGGCTTGAGCCCATGCGCGCCGCGCCGCTGGGCGAGGCGCCCTCTCGCATGAGCGGCCGCGTGGCTACGAAAACCACCCTTTCCGCCACTGCTGCGCGTCCCTGTTGGAACAGGCTGCTACGCGCAAGCTCTGCTACACGGCGGAGTGCTACGAGGCGCAGGGCATCTTCACGAGGATGACGTTCGCTTTCGTGAACTACACCTTCCGCCATTGCAGCGCGTTCCTGGCGCACGCGACGGTGTCCAACGCTCAGCCATACGGTGGAGTGCAACGAGGAGCAGAGCATCCCCAAGCGTTTACTTACGAGGACTACCTCTACCGCATCGGCAGCGCGACCTGTGCGCAGGCAGCGGCTTCCAAGCTCAGCCACACGACAGAGTGCTACGAGGTGTTGGGCATCCCCACAGGGCTGGCGTACGCCTACGTGGACAACCTCTTCCATTACTGCAGCGCGTCCCGTGCGCAGACGGTTGCGTCCCGGTTCAGTTGCACGGCGGAGTACTACGAGGCGCCAGGCATCTTCACGGTGCCGCGGGTCTTCTGCGAGGACAGCCCTTTTCGATATTACAGCGCGCCCCTGGCGCAGGCGGCGGCCTCCAAGCTCAGCCACGCGGCGCAGCGCTACGAGGGGCATCTACACGGGGTTGGCATTCGCCTACGAGGGCAGCAGACCTTTCCGCTGCTGCAGCTCATGAGCTACGGCACTTGCTGCATAACCGCCGTTTTAGCTTGTGCAGATCACTTGGGCCGCATGTTGCTGCATGTGCTGTCTCCCATCAGGCTCTCTCGTCGTGGGTCGCCCCCCATTCGCCTGCTTTCTGCTGGTTCCCCCTTTCTGTTTCCTTTCGCTCCCTTCAGTCTGTAGCAGGTTGCGCGCTGCTTTTCAGTGCTTTCGGTCGAAAATTTGTACATCGAGATTGCCAGTGGCCGGTTAGGCCTCTGAGCTCGAGCTACTGATGTGGCTGAGCTCTTTTCTCTGCGCTAGCCAGTGCACCCCACTCTGGCTTCCCAGTTCGCCCCTGGTTCGTTCTTTGTCCTTGGCCTGGGTTGACGCACGCCTAGTCGGGCCTTCGAGTTTCCCTCGCTCTTAAGGTCGTTGCCAGCACATAGGCTTCTTTCGTGTTCCCTGCTCATCTCTGGCTCGGTGCCGGGAAAGATAGCGCGACATGTTTCCCGCGATTGTTTTTTTTTGCGCCTGGGTCAAGGGCGCTCGCCCACAGGCATTCAAGGTGAGAGCGGTCAGAGGCGCATTCCGGTTTTCGACGACAACGACGACCTCCCCCTCCTTTTATCCTCCCTCCTGCCATGTCGCCTGTGCTCTCCGCGTGTCCCTGCTCCGGCACATCCCTCACACGCTTCGTGGCCCCGTAGGGAGCTGCACCGAGGGCCCCGGCGGCAGCGTCCGCATGGAACCGCCGCGCCACATCCGGCACACCCCTTCACATGCTTTGTGGCCCCATATGGGGCTCCATGTTAGGCCCCAGTGGCAGCGCCCGCATGGCACCGCCGTGCTCGTTGCGGCACTCCCCATCACTCGATTCGTGGCCCCGTCGGGAGTTCAACCGGATGCCCCAGTTGCAGCGCCCGCGTGACCCCTCCGCGCCCGTTTTGGCACACCCCTCACACGCATCGTGGCCCCGAATAGCAGTTCCACCAAAAACCCAAGTGGCAGCGCCCGCATGGCATCCTCGCACCCGTTTCGGCGAACCCCTCGCACGTTTTGTGGCCCCATTGGGAGCTCCACCGAAGGCCCCAGTGGCAGAGCCCGCGCGGCACCACCGCGCCCGTGTCGGCACACCAATCGTACGTTGCGTGGCCCCCAAAAGTGTTCCATCGAAAGCTGGTGGTACCCACAACGCGGTGCCCACAATTGCATTTGAGTGGGTCCTTCGCCAGGACATTGGTGTCCCCAGGTGCGGTGAAGTGCCTCATCGGGCCGACCAGCATCGGTAGGAACCATCCGTTGAAGCTTGTTTTGAACGCGCATTTGTCGCAGCTTGCCTTGTAGTCGCGCTGCACTTATACGAAGACAACGTTTTCAGTATCAATTCCGCTTCCCTGTCAGGGCCTCGTCTGCGCGCTTGTACCAAGAGGCCCAGGTGCGGTAGCTCCTGGTTCGCTCGCCACACCGAGGAAGCCCGGGGCCCACGTAAGGTCTACACTTCGCACATGTTCTGCCGCTGGGACGTGTCGGGCACGCTCGCTGGCGGTTTTGGGCGCCCGCCACGCTCCGCGTAGGATTTCGGACCCATCCCCGCCCATGTTCAAAGGCGCGTAGTTGTTTGAAGTGCCCTCATGAAGCTATTCAGGAACCTCGCTGTGTTGTCGTCAGCACCAAAACTACAATGAATAAACCAGGGGGGGGGATTTAGCGAAACGATGATTTTGGCACAGCAGCACGTGAAAAACGGTTGCCCCCCCCCTTCGACCGCAATCACTCCTCCTTTTCCTTCGCCCGTCCGAAGTTTTGCCCCCACCTTCGACCCTTCGACCGAAGGTTCTGGGGTCCTCCCCCCTTCCTCTTCCTTTTTTTCTTTTCGTTCCTCCTCACCGCCCCTCCTGTTTCTCTTTTCCCACATCCTAATTAGGATTCTTGTTTTCTCTGGACATCCCGCGCAGTCCTCCTCGTCACCCCTTTTCCTCCTCACACACTCACGCACCATCATCATCATCGTCATCATCACCATGGTCATCATACTCATCACAATCATCACAACCATCATCACCATATTCTGTCATCCCACTACACCCCAATCATCATCACCCACCCGCTGTCCCACTCACTCACGTTATCCCACCACCCCTTCGTCATCATGTCATGATCCTATCATGATCGCCGGGCATCAACATCATCGTCGTAATTATCACCCGAGCACACCACCATCGTCATCATTACCACCGTCCCATGCTGACCATCGACCAAGAGGGGCCTCGTCTGTGAGTGGATCGCGAGGAAAGCTCGGGCGGGAGCTCCCGGTCTATGGGTTCCGCACTTCATGTTGGTAATCCGAGCGGGTAACCAGGTCCATGTAATTGTCCTCATGTTTTTTTCCTGGCATGTATATGGAGGAAGTCTTCAGCGGCAGCTTCGTCTGTGAGTGAATTGTGAGGAAATCTCATGCGGGAGCCCCCTCTCCATGGGGCCCGCGCTGCATGTTGGTATTCCGAGTGGGTTGTCGGATCCTTGTAGCTGTCGTCACTGTTGGGTTTCTTTTGTTTGAATATGGAGGAGGTCTCGAGCGGGAGGTTTGTTTGTGAGTGAGCTGTGAGGAAGTCTTTGGCGAGAGCCCCCTCCCTAAGCGGTCCGCATTTCATGTTGGTAATCCGAGCGGGTCATCGGATCCTTTTAACTGTCGTCACGTTCTCGGCCCCCTGGATTGATGGATTGAACACGGAGGAAATGTCGGCTCCTCAGGCTTGAATCCAGAAGTCTTAGGCCAGAGCTGAATTGCGAGGAAGTCTCAGGCGGGAGCCCCTTTGCCTATGGGTCCCGCACTGCATGCTTTTTAACCAGAGGGGGTCATCGGAAACCTGTAATCGTTGTTTTTGGGGGGGGTCACAGGCCTGCATGTTTGACAAAGTCTCAGGCGGGAGCCCCGTCTGTGAGCGAACTGCGACGAAGTCTCAGGCGGGAGCCCCTTCTCTGTGAGAGCCCCGCTTCCATCGTGGAGTCCGGGCGGGCCGCCGGCAAACCTGCAACCTGGAATCTTGCCGAGCTCCTCTGGCATGAATTCGGAGGATATCAGGTCGGGGATTTTTCGACCGGGGGAACTCGCTGGGGGGACGGAGGATGCGGGGTCAGGGAAGGGAGGGGGAAGAAGGGGGGAGAGGAAAACAGGAAAGGAAGGCTCCAGATGATAGGAGGTCCCAGGAACATGAATAGAGGACGACGACTGTGGCTGGGCGCAGGGGGAAACTCTTGCGTCCAGGCCGGTGGTGGTAACCCATCTTCGGCCGAATCGGGGGCAGGGGGAACCCTTTCCGTCCAGGCCCGTGGTGGTAACCCATCCTCGGCCGAATCGGGCAACGTTGTTTCTGGGCTGGCGGTGGTAACTCATCGTCAGCCGAATCGAACCTGGGGGGGGACCCTTGCGTCCGGGCCAGAGGTGGTAACCCATACTCGGTCGAATCGGGGGAAGAGGGAACCTTTGTCTTCGGGCTGGCGGTGGTAACCCATCGTCAGCCGAATCGGGCGCAGGGGGAAACGCTGGTGACATACGTAGAGCGTAGCAAGCCGTAGAACTTAGCATGTTCATCGTTTTCCTGCAGGCCGTAGACGAGCGCAGCGCTACTCAAGGCGACCCAGACGCGGGCCGGCGCCACCTGAACGTCCCGAACATGCACATAACGGAGGATATCCACGGCGTCTTACTGGCACGCGTCGGCATGGAGGTTCGATGCGCGGCCGTGCTGGAGGAGCTGAAGAAGGAAGTTTGGGCCCTTGCAGGAGCAACGGGCCATCATCGCGTCCTTCGAGTGTCACCCAGACTACGAGCGAGACTACGAGGAACGCGCGCCGGGCCAGCTCTGTCGCCTCCGCTACCTACCCCAGGGAAACTGAATGCAGTTCCACGGTTTCAAGGAACCCCCGATCTACAAGCATGTCCCTGAGCTGCTGCAGGGCCCCGAAGCCGCTGGCGACGACGACGAGACCGAAGGTCGGGCGATTAGCTCGCTCATGTTCTGGCCCGGCGAGCAGGAGCTCGCCTGGCAGAGCTCGTGGACGCGCGTCGCGCGCCGCTCGGGGTTCACCCTGACGCGCGCGCCCGATCTGACCTCCGCAATGTCGCAGGGCCAGACGCTGCGCGAGGGCGCCACTATCGATTGCGCCAGGGGCGAGGGCGCTGGCCGCGCGGGCACGTCGTCCGAGCAGCGGCGGCGGCACCTCTGCGCCACTTCCCCCCGCGCCGCGCGCGCGCGCGGAACGCGCCGATCCTGCGGCCGCCCCCCGCGGGAGTTCCTGGAAGATTGGCCGCCGGCGTCGGCGCGAAAGGCGCTCGGGGAATTCGACGAGGGCGCGGGGGGCGGAGAGAACGAAGGCAGATGCGGAGCAGCTCGCAAGTGAGCTGGGCTTCGCGCCGCCCTTCGACCGAGCGCGGCCTCGCCTTGCTCGAGACGTTCGGGGCTGTCCCAACGGCTTGGTTTCGCGCGCCAGCGGTTCGCCAGAGTTTTGTCTCAGCGACGTGGCCCGCGGGGTTGCCCCATCGGCGGACGCGCTCGCGCCGATTGAAAGGGGCGGCGGAGCCCGGGAAGAACAGACGCGTTAGGAGGGCCAAACCATGGGGCGACGATAGGCGGAGGAAGGAGGGGGCGAAACAGGAGCAGCCGGAGGCATTGCTGACCTTGCCCGGGCTTGTCGGCGGAGAGGGATTGAACCTAGTCCGAGGGGCGTCTGGTGCAGAATTCGGGGGCGGATTAATATTCCCATTTTCACGCCGCAGCGTGGCCTGCGCCTCGTTGCGTTTCCTCTCGGTGTTTCAACGGGCCCAGCTGCGGTGGCGGGGGTGCGTTTAGTATGTTTAGTTTAGTTTTTTTTTTTTTTTTTTTTTTTTTTTTTTTTTTTTTTTTTTTTTCTCTCTCTCTCTCTTTTCCCCCCCCCTCTCTCTCTATCTCTCTTTCTCTTGTTCACATTCATCTTTCTTTTTTCCGAACTTTTTCCCCCCCTTTCTCTATATTTATGTTTTTGTTGTGTTCTCTCTCTCTCTCTCTCTACCTCTCTCTCTTTCTTCATTTCTTTCTTTCTTTTTGTTTTCTCTCTCTCTCTCTCTCTCTCCCTCTCTCTCTATACATGTATATATACCCCCTGGATTCCGCGCCCACACTCGATCAACAATGGCGCTGGCAGCCGCGAGCCCTCCAGAGTTACTCGTTTTTTGATTGAACTTGATGTTCGCTTGTGGCCAATTCCGCTTCGTGCTTCCTGGGAACGACGGCGCGGCGGTTGACCGTGGAGCTCACTGGTGCTTCGACACCTGCGCGCGCAAGGGCAACTGGCCGTTTTGCCAATGGACAACGCCGCAATCCAGCCTTGCCCCCAGGGTTGATCTACATGCAACTTTCCGTGTGCCTTCACCATGCAACGCTCTTCCGGAACGACGGCACCATGGCGACTTGCGGCAGCAACGACTATTGCCAGCGAGATTTCCTGGAGTTGGGCGCGAGGTTGATATGCGCCCAAGATGCCGCTGGGCACGACGCGACAGTGCTTCTTGGAAGCGACGGCGCGGCGCTGGTCTGCGGCGGCGGCCCGCGGGGCGCCCTCGCC